AGTCACTAATATGAATTTAACAGAGTTATTTTTACTTTCAGGTGCGTGGTCCTGGGGTAGGGGTCATTGGAACTAGCAAAGGGGGAGACCTGGCTTTATCCATGGCAGCATTTATTCCGTCTATTACAGCATGCGTTACGATTAATTGCTACAACTCTCCAGTTGGTGTAGGAATGCGTGTTAAGGATCATCTCTATCCATGTCTGCCAGAACATGATTTTCAATACCTTTCTATTGATAACGAAGGTACCCTTAGTATTCGTAGAGATGTACGAGACCCTCGTAAAAGCAAAGAGTCAACCCTCCCCATTGAACAAAGCAATGCAGCCTTTTTGTTCCTTGTTGGCAGTGACGATCAAAATATACACTCAGAATTTTATGCCCAGTTGGCCTGTCAGCAACTGCGTTCACATAATTACCAAAAATGGTTTGAAGTTTGCTCATACCCTGGAGCAGGCCATCTTTTGGAGCCTCCATACTCAGCTCATTGCTCAGCATCTTTTCAGCACACCTTCATGCTGCCTGTCCGCTGGGGGGGAAGGGGCAAGTTCCACATCCTTGCGCAGGAAAAGGCATGGTTCAAGATGAGAGAATTTTTGGTCCAACATTTAGGTTGTGACAGTGATATGGTGAAAGAAGCAGATAGTGAAAAAAGTATCTTTTTGAAGAGTCATTTGTAATTGGCTTTCATAAGATAGTAATTTGTGCAGTATGTTTGGAGTCTGAATTGCTACTGAATTTTCAAGATTCGGAAAATCACAGGTTCCATTATTGCATGCAAATTTATGATCCAGTCACCCACTTTTTAAATTAAATTATTTGTCTCCTTAATTTACAAAATATATGAAGGATGACTGAAATTACTTATTTAAGAAATTGCAAAATCCCATCAGTATTAGCCTAAGCCAGTTAGGTACAAACAGAACAATAGATTTTCTTGGCTGGCTCTTTATGTATGTTGACACAGATGGTTGTAAATTATGAAACGATGCATATAATATAAGAAGTGCCTTCTTGTTTGTGTCTTATATTGATACTATTTATACTCTTCAAGGTTAATTTTATTAATTTCTCAATTATATCATGTGTGATATATTTTTAAGTAATTATTTTGAGATATGAATATGGTTTCTCCAGGTTGACTTTAGGATAAACATTTGCTAGTGTTCAGTCGGCTCTTTGCACCAAAGCTGTCATATCTTTTAATCAGACAGTGAAGATTAGGTTGCCATCATGATAACATTTATTGAGTTTTGATTAGAGTTTGTTTGTAAGGATTAATTCCTTGGATCTGGTTATTTTACGGGAATCTCGTGGACCAAAATATGGACATTAGGCAGTCCCTCTGATAGGTGTGCCACCTGTAGGCTGGGTGCATGCGGACGCTTATGTACGGTGGCAAGACTCGATGCCTCCCTTTTGCAATGTTATTTTCTTTTTTTATGCCTAAGCGTTTTTAGCTTTTTGGCATTTAACAATGTCCATGTTTGTCACTGGATTTGCTTATCCAGATGGTAATAGCCTGTTTTCCTTGCACAGACTCCATGTCATTCCTCTAGGTAGTCCATAACTCAGTGCAAGAAGAATAACAATAAGTAACATCTTATTATTTGTGTAATTTATATTTTTTCGTAATATTCAATTTTCTGTATTCAAACTGCACCGCTGGTCACAGCAGCCAGGAATAGGATGCTGCGCATGGAAATGGCATCCTCCCAGGTGCTAGCGCTCTTTCATTCATGGTTCACAAACTGTATATTCCACATTCATTTATCAATGAAAATAATGCAAAAGCCCCTTTCTAAACATTAAATAAGTCTAATCACCCTCCAAGAGGTTTGTGTACTCATGGCAAGTCTTTTCCGCCACCCAAGCCTTCAGCCAAAATGCTCACAACAGCAAGTTCGCGCCACCCCAGCCCACAGCCAGATGTACAGATTTTGAGGCCTTTTTTGTTGATACATTAAGTACTTAATCTTTGCTTGTGAAATGTTTCATTTTCATTATTTTATTCTCAACTGTGTTAGAAGCGTTGTTGAATACCTTGTGTTCTAGTATTTAACTCGTTGGAGCCAGCCTGTACCTAGACTAAAATCCGTGTATTAGGCTTTCTTGAGTGGCGACTCTCTCGGGTGTGTGGCATTAAGGCCTGGCCAACATTCGCATCACCCATTCCCTCAACCAAAGTGTTTGATGACAGCTCAGTCCTATCACTTGGAACTTAGCCAATGGGTTGATTTTAATGTTTGCCCACATAAGAATTCCACACATGGTAATGCCTTCACTATTTAAGCCTTTAACAAGTATGGTTGTGCAATTATGATGTTTTGTAGTTACATGTGTACATTTGTAGATTGGGAGATCTAGAGAACAATTTAGTATTTTTTATTTAGCTATATATATATTTTTTCAATATTGGAGATGTACATAAATGAAACGTATAAATACAGTATTGTTTTTATGGTAAAGAAATGTGTTAATATATGCCTTCCCAAAGTGATTCACCTGCAATGTCATTTACTATCAAATATAAGATCTTCAAGAAAAACGGAAAGAAAAACATGTATATATATAAATATAATTATGTTCACATTGAACCCTTAATGACAGGTACATCCTGATTGCCACTGGAAAGGATGGCACTCTATAGGCTCTAGCAAGCATAGGTTGGCTCTGCACAGCACACGCCTTGCCAGAAAGGCTAGACTATTTTGTAATGATTACCTCACAGAAAATTCTGGTCCCATCATGATAGGTTTGATAGACTGTATCCTCAAAATTAGAACAAGATTAATTTGAATATTATAAAGAAAAGCTGAACATGTTGATATTAAATGTATGCTACTTTTTTCTGTACATTTTTTAATATTAAGTAACAGAAACATAGATGATACAAGTTCATGCAATGAATAGTCAGAGTTGTAAAAGATTATTAACCCTCTGTTGCTGGAACATGTTAAATCCTCTGCAGTTTAGTTATTTGAATTGTGCTTATACATAAGTGGCTCCACAAGTTCTCAGTTATTCAGGTGTCAATAAGTAGACATGTGTGACCTCACTGGATTTCCACTTTTCTTGAGTTTTTAAGATTTTCTTTTTTTTCTAATACTATTGATATTGATACTGTTATTTTTGGTATGAACATTATGATTATTGTCATGATATTAACAATTCTGACAGCGATAAAGACGCAAGAAATATTTCCAAAAATTAAGGAAAATGGTGAATAGATGAGATGGGTAGGATAGTAACAGATTTCTTGGTGACTATGCCTTTGTGGACCCATCTATGTGTAAATACATTTAATAAAATCACAATAGTCATGGCATGAATATATATGCCATCCCCAGTGGCACTAGGTAAAAAGGAATTTGATATGTAAGGTATGACACCGTTATCTATGCACAGCTCTCACTGGTGTGTAAATGATGATGATTCTTGTAAAAGATATCTTGGAAAGAAGAAATAATTACCTCTTCTTTGAGAAAATATTCAGCATCTATGAACTATTAAATAACCCTTCAGTGATGGGTACAGATATAGCAGTCATGATAATTTTCCTAACCAGAAAGTTTTATCTGTTGCATAATGCTTACATCACAGAAAATTCTGGACCCATCGTGATAGGGTACAGTGAAGTGGCGTATGATAAAGAAGTTATATATCTGTGGGATATATAGATGATAATTTTAAAAATGATCGAATGAAAACCCACAATGCACTTATCAACACTAGTGTTTCAACATTATACAACAGTGAATTACTAATCCATTGTTGTCAGGGATGTCATGCCATGCCTACTGTGAGTTTAGTTTATTAATTGTTTTTACACATAGATACCTATCTCACCTATTTACAGTTTTCCTTGATTTTAAGAAATGTTCCTTTTTTATTTTTCATTGATAGTATTATTGTTAAACACCATGATAATCATAATGTCAATAATAGTAACAATTGCATCAGTTAACAGCATTAGAATCTTTTTTCTCCAAATTACTCAAGGAAATGGGAAATCAGGTGACTGAGCACTTATGGAGATATCTATATATAAACACATTTAACAAAACAAAGCTACAGTGAACGTCCCCTGCAGCAGTGGGTTAATCCAACATGTAATATGTTTATGGAAACCAATTTTTTTTTTCTATTAAGGGTCCATATCAGGTAACAGATAATTAGAAGAAAAATACAGTCTATTAGAAAATTTGTTTCTGTTCTGTGTTTCATGAATACTGACTGTAGAAAAAAATAACATTCTGCACATTTTTCAACATATATCAGCTTCATTTTGTGAATTTGGATGAACAGTTTGAAGTTAAAGCAAGAAAATATATATTGTTGAAAGGCATATATTAGAATTGTACAAGTTGAAATTCTTTATGGTCAGAGCTCTGATAATACAATGATACAATAATGTTGGACAGTACAATATAGGGAAGCATATCTGTTGCCTAGATATCAGATTACATCATATTTGTTGAGTGAATTAAGTTTCAGAAGATCATGGTCATGAAGATATATGTAATGATGAAATGAGATATTTGATCATCTAAAAGAGGTATATATTTATGCCATAGACAATAAAGAAGATAAGAGTTTAAACATTCGTAAAATGCTTGTCCCATATTTATGGTAGCTGTCAGTAATAGTGTTTCTGATATGCAATCACAAGTCAGTGAAAAAGAAATATATTCATTAGTGCCAGTAGCTCATTGAAATATCAATCTTCATTCTTACACTGAAATTTGATAAGAATATTATTGAAAAAAAATATCTTTTTTGCATATTGTAATTTTGTGGTGAACCTCTCTTCTAGATTATGAAGCCCCATGTAGGTGCTGTAGGTGTGAGCAAAGGGGGAGACCTCGTTCTGTCTCTTGCAACATACATCCCGGAGGTCAAGGCCGGTGTGTGGATCAACGGATGCAATTCAAATGTGCAATCCGCCCTTAAGCTCAGGGATTCTGTATTGCCGGGTTTGGAATTTGACTTCGGAAAAATTGAGGTTTGTTTCCGGGAATTTTATTCTTTCTTTCTTTCTTTTTCTTTTTCTTTTTTTTTTTTCTTTTTTTTTTTTGTGTGTGTGTGTGTGTGTGTGTGTGTGTGTGTGTGTGTGTGTGTGTGTGTGTGTGTGTGTGTGTGTGTGTGTGTGAAAATTGAGTGGTGCATTATAGTATTCAGCATCACATGAATTAAACAGTTGATATATATATGTGAGGATTTGGGTAACATAATAAAAATGCTTTTGTTAGATTACTCTCAATGTGAGTTACATAGGGTAGTACCTTGTAACACTGCAAGAAGTTCACATAAAGAATAATAGAGGATGATTAAAGACTTACAAAACACACTTACTCACAGATTGTGAATGGCTCAATGGATTGCTTTGAGATTTTACACAATCCACTAGACTATCCTGAGACCATCATTCCTATAGAGAAAGCAGACGCCGATTTTCTTTTCCTGGTTGGTAACGGTGATCGCAACTGGAAGAGTGTGATGTACTGTGACCAGGCCATTGAACGGCTCAAAAAAGCTGGACGTAAAAATTACGAGGTAGGAGGTCATTCAATGCCTGTGGTTGTATGATAAAGTATAGACTTTTAAGCCTTTCACAGATGGTAGCGTCTCTCTATCCATTAACTCATTGCCTCCAGGCTGGCATATATGTTGCACCATGCCAAAAATAGCTGTCCTGCCAAGGACATATGCCATTAATTAGTTTAGTTGAAATGTAGTTTGGTGGCTGGATGCTTTTGTAGGAATTTAGGCCACTAAGGCATGGTTGATATAAGATGTTTAAATAAAACTCAGAAACTCAAACTTTACCTGTTAAAACAAGTGTAGCCTGCAGTGGTGCATGCTGCAGTGTTTATGCATAACCTGGAATTTAAGCCTTTTGGTATTTTAGCCTGCCTGAAGGCATTGGGTTAATGATGTGCTTACAATGTAAGCATTTTTTTCTTGTTTCTTTGATGTTAAAAGTTATGTTGCACCTTTATATTACTTGATTAACCCATTAGATCGGGATGCTTCACTGCCATCACTTGGGCCAAAATATGGGCATTAGGATTATTTAGTCAGCCACTCTGATGGGTAATTAGTGCACGCAGACACTTGTGTGGTGACAAGACTCTATGCCTCCCCTTCACAATATTATTTTCTCTTTTCATACATAAGCATTTTAGCTTTTTTGCCATTTCCCAATGTCCATTTTTGTCATTTGATTTACTTTACCCAAATGGTAATAGACTGTTTATCTTGCACAGACTCCATATCATGTCTCTAGGTAGTCAGTGCAAGAATAATAACAATAAATAACATTTTGTTATTTGTGTCATTTTAATTTTTTTCATTATATTTAATTTTTTTGTAATACAATCTGCACTGCCAGTTACGGCAGCAAGGAATGGGATCCTGAGCATAGAAATAGCATCCTCCCTGGAGTAGCTCATGGAAAGAACATTCCACACTCATTTATCTATGGAAATAATGCAAAAGCCCCTTCCTAAATACCTTATGGTTTATGCACTTGTAGCTAGTCATTCCCATTACCCCAGCCTTCAGCTGAAATGCTCATGAAGGCAAGTTTGTGTCACCCCAGCCCAAAGCCAAATTTTCCCATGACAGCTTGTTCAGGACACCAGCCCCTCAAGCCAGATTCTATCATCCAGATTGTAGGGGTTAAATTTCACATTGAAATTGTGTAGTAAAAATACAAACCCAGGCATCTTTGGAGTGTGGACTGACCTTACCCGAATAAAACTAATACAGTAATCATGATTTTGAACTTCAAATTTTAGTTATATGTCAGTTATACCTATTACCAAATGTGATATTTTGATATTAGCCAGTTCAGTAGTCAATCTTGTTTCTACACTTATTTTTACAATCAGATCGTAATATCTACTAACAAATATTAATATTAATAGCTAGTTTAGTAGCCAACATTTTTTTATAACTAAATACACTAGTGGTATGAAGATGAAAACAAGTATAAATATTTTGTTTATCTTACTAGATTTACAAAAGTTGTAAACAAAACAAATTAGCAGGATGAAAGAGTAGAGGGAGGAAGTTTCCCTTCCCTTCATTGTTTTATTTACAACTTATTCAACATCAGTCACATATGGAAATGTAATGCAAATGAGATATATATATATATAAACACTTTTTCCCTCTAGGTTCACAGCTACGAGCTAGCAGGACATCTGATTGAACCTCCTTATTCTCCCTTCTGCCTTTCCTCCTACCACAAGCTAATATCTGGTCCGATCTTATGGGGTGGCGTATCGAAGCCCCACATTTGTGCGCAAGAGGAGGCCTGGGAAACCATGATAGCATTTCTGTTTAAAAATCTAACTAATATGAGAGGGAAACTCTAAGAATGGTCTTGCATTGAAAATTAAAACCAGATTTTAGTGATTCAGACATTTGAGAGCTAAGGAGATGTTAAAGTGTATCTTTCTAAGACCGTTTTAGTGTGTGGGGTAAGAAGAC